GCCCAACGGTAAAGTGGTTGGGTGGGTGCCGCGCCGCCCGCGGCGCCTCCCCGGCCGGCGGCGGCGCCGCCACAACCAAGCGAAGCGGCAGATCGCCTCACCCTCTGGAGGAGGTTGCGTGCGGTTCGCGCGGCGGCGGCGAGGTCGGGCGGAGCGAGTGCGCCTGCTGTGTGGGGCCTGTCCGTGTATCGCTCGGCGCGTGCGCACCGTATACGCGGGGCGTTTCTGGTTTCTTAATGTTGGTTGCGGTCCCTTCGTGCGAGTTGGGTTCATTGTGCGTCTGACATGTCTACACTTATTTGTTTGTTTGTTTTTTTTGCTGTAAATTTTATTTGCTTATTTATTTATATATATTTTTGTTTTCCATCGGTTCTCTTGTGTTTTTTTAACGCTTATTCCTTGTTTTTCTTCTTTTATGAACTATATATGTAACTTGTTTTTTTTGTTTCTTTCTTATTAATGATTATTTTGATCTTTGTTTTGCGCATGTAGTAGCAATGTCCCGCCGAAAGCCCAATCTGACGTTGGCCGGTCCAGAAACAACGTTGCAAGTTCTTGATATGGGATTGGACTTCCGCTCCTATCTATCGCGTGTAGACGATGCTGGCCTCCCTGTGCTAGGCAATGTAATCTCTTATGAGGCTAGCAAGATACCTGATGTTTTTGAGCCTACGGTAGGATTACTTGTAACGATTTTGCACATGTATGCACAAAGCACAACCACGGCGTCTGCTTTTGTTTGGCTTCAGACTTATGAGGCTATTCAAAAGGTATACTTGGATCATGTAGATCAGGAAAGTCAGGAGTCCGCAAGGTATGCTAATGAGGCGCGCATGGCTGTATTAAACCATTTGTCCAATGGTATGGTGGTTGACAATAGCGGTCTTTGCGAAAAACTACTGCTTCTTCTTGATCAACAAAGTGGTATTCGCGGTGCACAGGCACCATCTCAAAGAAAAATCCCAAGAGAACCAAAAGGTGCGTTTTGCAACCTTCATTTAGCGGATCAAAAGTGTTATCAGGATTTTGCCTGTAATCAGTTGCATCTTCATGAGGTAGGCCCTGTCAGGCATCGGATTAATTTTTTTATGAGATTGATTGAAGTTCTAAAAGCTGAAAAAAGGCCCAAGATGCAAATACTACACCGAATAAAGGATTCTATTTTTTTGCCCGTTATGGAAACAAAGTAACAGTTCAATGTCATGGAAAGTGGATTCCTTTTTTCAAGACTGTTTATACGGACGGCAGGCTTGAGCAGGCCTTTCGAATGCAACAGTTTTCCTGTAATAATAATGGGTGTACCGATGAGCACTGCAAAGGGATACATGCTCAGGATCGCCGTGTGGTGTCTTCGAGCAAACAGATGGATCTTCATAATCCTCAAACTCTAGCTGCCCAGATTGACGAAGAGTCACAACACCTTCTTTCGCTGGCGGGTGTTTGTAAAAATCAGGCGTCTGATGCACCTCTCTCGCTTTCACTTTCATCCCCCATGGTAACAATTGCTTCTCCAACTTCTGAGCTTTGGAGAAGCACCGTTCGAGATTATGTTCGACAAACAGGAATACCACAGCTACAAGCCGATGAATCACTGCTTAGAACATTACAGGATGCAAATATTGTTGGAACACCTGCCGCTTCAACTGAAAGTTTGACACCCTTGTTGGATGAACTTGACCTGCACGCGTTCAATTCCACTAACTCCCCGCGTAACGGGACGTGAGCATACTAGGGTTTTTTATATGTTGGTTTTCTTTTTTCAGAGTCGCAGCGAATGGTAATGTTATACAGAGCGAATGATGTGAACACAATTATAGCGAGGAACTTTTTTTTGTTTGGCTGTTTTATCGGTCCAAGAAGTATGCGAAAAAGGAAAAACAAAACAACAACCACAACAGCCCGAAGAAGGGGATATGAGTAAGAAAAGCGACAAGAACGACAAGAACAACAGAAACTGCACGAATGAGGGAAGGGTTATGGAGGATTGAAAGATGCAAAAAAAAAAAAGAACCCCAAA